GGTCCTCGCGCCCGGCTCAGGTCAGGGACCCGTCCAGCGGCCCGGGGAGTTCCGGTGAGCGCTGCGTGTCGCTGCTGGGGTTTCTGGAGGCAAAGCTGCCTGGGTTCACATCACAGCTTTGCTACGTGATGGCACTGTGACCTTGGCCAGCTCCTTACCTGCTGTGCCTCAGTTTCTCTGCCCATAAACACTAGCAGGTGTTTTGCAGTGGGATTGGTGTGAGAAGTAAAGGTATTATTTATATAAAGGGCTTAGGACAACACCTGGCACCGAGCAAGCAGCAAGAAGAGGTTTTCAAATTATAGTCCTTGAGCCCTTCAGGAGGGTCAGCTCTTTTTGTTGTTTGTTCGCGGCCGAACTTCGAGAGGAAGGAAAGGGGGGCGAGGCAGAGACTGGGGACCTGGCATCACCCACGCGGAGGGCAGCCGCCCGCCGGGCGAGAGCCTGACACCCCGCAGTGTGATGCACAGGGGAGCTGCGCGTTTTCAGGGTTGTCAAAGGTTCCTCTAAATATTTAGCAGAAGTTTGTGTCTTTTTCTCCAGAGATGGCCCGTAGTTTTCATCAGATCTTTAGAAGGATCTGTTAATCTAAGTAGTTGAAGATCCTGTGTCCCTAACACCTTTGCAGCATCTCTCTTACGATGGGGAAAGGAGGAAGTCAGGAAAGGGGGGTCTCGTGGCATGACAGACATGGTGCCCGTGACTGTGAGGGTGGAGGTTCTATGAGCTCTTCTCCGGGAAGGGAGGCTGCTGGGCAGCTGGGCGGGGTCTGCCCCTCGGGCATCTACAGCTCCTCCACCTCGATGCCCCCACTGGTCCGTCTTCTCTCAACTGGGCGGGTGACCGGGGGCCAGACATCCTTGGGAAGGTGAACCCCAACCCTGCAGGGAAACGCATTTAGCCAAGTGTCTGGGGCCCCGACACCCTCAGTTCTGTCACTGGGGGCAGCAGCGCGGAGAAGATACAACGCTCCTTTTCTGTTCTTTCCCGAGGGGGCACGGGAGAGGCGGGAGGCTGGCCCTGAGTCATTTTCGGCACTCGCCCACAGCCTGCTGCTTCTCTGAAATGTCTCTGGAATGGGTTGACAAGCAGATGGTTTTGTGGGCTGCATTTATTTGCC